AAAGTTAAAATTTCAAAACAGCTATTTTACTAGATGGTTGTGGCTAGAATTCTCTACCGAGACAATGGAGCTTATTGCAAGTTATGAGTCCTGTTAGTTAAGTCAACAAGTACAAAGATGCTGGATAAATCTTTGACAATAAAACAAATTTATCACAAACGCGATGAACCCATTATTTCTTCAAATTAATTGTGGGGATATGATTCCCATTTTATTACATATTAACAAAAATAGGATTAAAATAGCAAAAGAAAATAGAGATCAAGCTAACTATTGAGGCTATACTATATTGTGGATTGCAGGGCCCAGAATTACATGGTCATTGGATTCAGGAAGCTTGAATTTCAATAATAATTATAATGAAGGTAATTTTCGTGGTCTTGTAAAATTTCGAGCATTAGGAGATTCTGTAAACAGAATTATTTTTGATACTCCTTGTCCAACGAGATGGAGTCTTTGCCATCAAAACAGCTTCTATAGAGTTAGAAGAGTGGATTATTATGCTCTTACTGAAAAATCACACCTGAAGGAGATATATCCTCAGAAGCAAGCATATTATTGGTTTCAATACTTACTTTTTTTTCTCATTAGTATATATATTATGTATTTTTAAAAACATAACATTGACTTGATTGAAATGATGAGAATAGCGGAGAGTATATTATTAGAACTCAGGGAAATTAGGGCTAATGTTATTGAAGAATTTCATATTTTATATGTTATTTTTGAGTCAAAAGCAGAGCTATATGAGATTAACATTTGTTCCCTCGGCTTGCAGCGAGGCAAGCTTATCGTCCTCATTAATATAGGGTCAGTAGAAGAGAATTATAAAATAAATATTTTTATCCCTCTCTTAGATACATTTTTAACCCAAATAGAACAGGTTTTAATTCATCAGGCAGTACTTAGCAATCTGCAGATATTACTTCCACAAAAGCCTTACCAACCTTTTTCAGATAGTAATAGAAAAAAAAATAAAATATTTATCGATTTTTTCATGAAGATGTTAAAGTATCTTATGATGCCTTATTAGCTGAATGCCAACTATAGTATATAAAAGATTAACTATGGTTGATATAGTCCCAAAAAATGCTGGATGCTTTGCATCATTTCAAACATCTTTAAGATTATTTTCCCAATGTATAATAAATTATATATATTAGCAACACTTCACATTAGTACTGCAACTAATGAGAGAACATTCCCTTCTTTAAGAAGAATAAAAACATACCTAAGGAGTACAACTTCTGACAATATATTGAATGGTTTGGCCCTTTTGAATATTCGTAGGCATTTGACGCCAAGCACAGATGAGATAATTGAACAATAAACCCAATCTCAATGAAGATTGGATTTTACATATAAATTTATAATATGCTTCTTAATTATTTTATGTGCGAATTAATATTTTAATTATGTTTTTTCATGAATACTTTTTAAGTTATTACATACAAAATACAATATTTTCAACATTTAAATTTATACTTTATATATAAATTTGATAGGCTTAAATTTAAATTTCTATTTTGGGTCATTTATTTTATAGTGATTTCTGATTTATATGCTGGTTATATTTATTTATTTATAATTCACATTTATATTGTTTTTCATATGCCGCCGGTTATATCCGTTTAATATTTTTTATAATTCACATTAATTTAAAATTCTGTATTAGAAATTGTTATTAGTCCTAAAAAATTTATGCTTTATATTTTAAAATAACAATGATTTTAATTAAAAAAATTTTAATCCCCCCCCCCCATACCAAATTCCTGCGTACGCGCATGAATTAAATTTAAAATATTATTATATATATATATTAATTAATAGCTGATATTTTTAAAATTTTGTCGTTTATTAACATAACTAGCTGATGGCGTTGAAGGGTTATTATTTAGTTTGTGTGTATGGTACTAAATATATTTTATTAATAAATTTTATAAAAATATTAAAATTTAGGAGAAAAAGAGGGAAAATTGTTGCATACAGTGAGCATTAAGAGTATTAGAAATATCAAAATTTAATTTTAATATGGAAATCATATTGGATAAAATTTAAAATAGAGATGCTTGAAGATTTTTGAATTTTAAATATGGGTTAGACATTGGCCTGAAAATTTCTTTTGCAGACATAGCTAGGCCTGATCAAAAAACCAAGTCTCATGCAACTTTCATATTCTGATTGTATTTTTGAATGAATTATGACTTTTACATATTTTATTTCAGTTCTTAGCTACCAAAATTATTATGGACTTTGGCCGAGCTTGAGAATATTTTCTCAACATAATTAGGAGCATGAACCTGTTGGGAATTTTTTTTATATTAGATATTGCATAATATTTATATGGGTCTCAGGTAAAAGCTAATTTAAATATATTTTTACTCAAAAAATACTATTCACTATTAGTCCTAATGAGTTGGTCTTGGTCTGAAATAGGATTTTGAGCGGGATTAAAGAGAATAAAAAATGAATTTGGTTTTTAGAAATTTACCTATCTCCACCAGGCTTGAGAAAATAATTTCAAAATTATTACGAGTTGGCCAGGTTTGAGAAAAATTTTTTAAAAATATTATGTGTGGGGCTGGGCTTGGAAAATATTTTTATGAATAAATTATTATCAGCTTGGACGCTTGGGAATTCCATTATCAACTATGGAAGACAATGACCTAAAACAAATTTTTTTGCAGGCCTGAGGACCTGGTCTGAAAGGGGGAGGGGGTTATAAAGAATAAAAAGATATTATTTTCAAATAACAGGTAACAACTATCATAAAAGTAGGGAGAAAAACTAACTAATTACCCCTCAACCCCCTCATTCTTGATGGGTTATTAGCTAGTATATTTATATTATATTAAATATTCAATGAATTATTTTTAAAATTTATTCATAAAGTTTTAATTAAAGCGAATGCTTTCCTTTTTTTTTGAAGGTGTACATAACGTAAACGGTTCGATTATTATCAATGAACGTTAAATGCGTTCAATTTTTTTAGAAATTACATCACTACAAATCATGAATCGTCAGTTAAGGATTATTAACCCAAATTTTATAAGATACAATTTCCTTAAATTTATAAATAATTTAAAAATTTTTTTAATTACTTTTGTGGAAAAAATATAAATGTTATAAATTATCTAGTCTTTTTATATAATATAATATCTAATATTTTGTTATTTATTTGCAAATATATAAGAATAAAATATACTACCAATACTCCTTAATTTTATTTATGTTAATATAGTTTTCATTAATATTTACCACTTCGCAATTTCTATGATAATTTTACACCCTCCCCCCCCTCTCTCTATTCTTGTAATAATTAGAATAATATTATTTATTTGCATTTAATTAAATAGTGGTTTATATAAATTTGAATTGTTACGGAAAATAGTCTTTTTTTTAAGTTAAATATTAAAATTTGAATATGAATATGACGAGATTATATAATGTAAATTTTAGTAGTATAAATATAGTGATAAAATAATGTAATAGGAAGAAATAAATTTTAATTTTTATTTTGCTTTTTAATTTTTGTTATGATTTATTTAATTACAATTAATATTATTTAATAAAGTAATTAGTATTTAATTTATTTATTCTATGTTATTTGTATTCTCTAAATTCTAATACCTAACATTGTTGCCGAAACCCATATGTACACTGATGCGCCTATACCTTCAGTCTAATTAACTTTGAAAAGAAATTCTAGATAAAGGGGGAAGGGGATGTAAGAAATGACCATCGACACGATAAAGAATGAGAGCAAAGAAACAATGGTATCAATAACCAGGCAAATGGTCGTAGTTCGAAAAAGTATAGAATTAGTCATTTTAGTCTCAAGAGATCGTGATAGGTAAAAGGAATTCGTCACAAGAGATCGTTATACTTACAAGTGATCGTTTTAGCTAAAAGAAATTCGTTATTTTTATTAAAGATATACGTTTAACGGTGAATTAAGTTGATAATATTTAGCAAAATATTAGGTTGTTGATTAACCAAAATCTTCATAAAGAGAAACAGCTTTCATCATTAGAAAATTCATGCCGCAATCGAGCTCATTTAGAGATCGGATTTTTATTTGGGATCATTTAAGATACAAGAAATTGATATCGTATAAGAGATATTTATTACAAGAAATGGTTATTGTTACAAGAGATTGGTATCGATATCATGACAAGAGGCAGTAGCCTTACAAAAGAGCGTTATCGTTATAAGCAATTTTTATCGTAGACATTATGAGACAAAAGAGATGCCTTAGCGAAATGGAGATAACTCAATGTTTAAGCTGTAATCTGACACAAACTGTTAGAAACTAAGAATACTAGGCAAAGGACAGCTGTAGTTATAAATTAGAAATATATTCAAGATTAAGAATAGATTTTGTGGAGATGAGATACAAGTCTAAGTCGAAATCGAAAGAAAGTTGTTCATTTGCAGAAGGGTGGATCTAACGTAAGTGGAAGGGTGTTGTAATAATGAGAATATTATTATTTGTATTTGCCTATAATTAAATAGTGGCTTATATAAATTTGAATAGTTACGGAAAATAGTTTTTTTTAAAGTAAAGTGAAATTTGAATATGAATATAACGAGATTATATCATATAAATTTTAGTAGTATAAATATAGCGATAAAAATGTAATAAGAAGAAAATTTTTTCATAAATTTTAGTAGACTTTAATTTAATTAATTACAATTAATATTATTTAATAAATTAATTAGTAATTAGTATTTAATTTTAATTTTTCTATTTTATTTGTATTCTCTAAATTCTCATTTCTAACACCCCTGTTGATTGACCGTTACCTTTTACTTCTGTTTAGCGTTAAACATTTGTATCTAAATATATTCTGCTTTAAAATATTAAAATCAATAAAATTTCTTTAACATAGCCTAAAGAAAAATATTACCATAATTGTATATTATTTATTACAATATGATTATTCCCAACGATTGAATTTATTTCCCTTTTGATGTTTGGTTCTATATATTTTAAAATATTTTACCGATGGTTATAAATATTGGTGATTTCGTATTACCTGGGGACAAAATTGATATTCATAAGTTATTTTTCAAAACTGATAATAAAGATAACCATTCTAATGATAATACAATTAATCTATCAAAATTTAAACATGTAATTGGGCCAGGAATTCGGTATGATGAACATAAAGGCATAATTATTACCAGATTTGGGAAATTAAGATGTAAGTTATATTCATAGCTTCTTATTAACTCCTATATTACCATATATAAAATTTAATTATGATAATCTAATGAATTTATTTCATAAACTATTGTTTGAGTTAGCAATATTTTTTATCTTTGATAAACTTTGCATTTGAATAGACAACTCCTTTAGTAAATTTACTAAGTTTAAAATTTAGACAAATTAAAAATTGATATTATTATACTATCCTGCCCCCCCCCCTTCACTCTTTACAACAATGATTAAAGTATAAGAAAAAACAATATTTAACAACTTATCTTAATAATTTAAACCTAATTAATATTTTGTTATCTTTAATAATGCATAGCAATTAAATAATTTTTCAAAACAATAATAAATTATTATAAAGGTAGATACACTGGTTCAATCAAAACATCTCAACCTATCTCAAAAGATAAATCTTCATCTGATTCAGATGATGGAAATAACCATAATAATATTGATGGACATACAAACTCTAAATTAGAAAACAAAATAGGTGCCCCCAGTGAGAATAATATTATTAAATCTCCATCTTCCCTATATTTATGGGTAGAATCATGTGTCAAATCATATCTTAACCCAAGTCAAGGGGATAGGGTAATAGGAGTTGTCCTGAAAACCCAAGATTGCAACATTTTAATGGACGTTGATCATTCAAAGCGTGCTATTGGTGCAGCCATTTTACCTGATCAAGCTTTTCAAGTCATAATCTATCTGACTTTTTATTTAGTCATAATATTTTTTAATTAAATTTTATTGTCCATTTTTTGAGAAGTTTGGAATTTTTTTTAATATAAACTATACCCTAGTCTGGTTATACCTGTCCAACATAGCCCCTACTTTTCATTATCTGATTTTGATAACATTTTTAGGTATTACTATCTAATCTAGATATATTTGAGAAATATTTTTTTAACAACTATGGTGGGTACACTAATTTCTAATAAAATTTTAAAATGGTAAAATTTGAAGATGGAATCCTAAAGGATTTATAAACAAACAGTACAATATAGAATAATAAGTGAACCATATATAAAAAGTAACTATTAGCTATGAATTTATAAGAAAGTGTTTAAAAGTTAAGTATAAGGAATCATCAGTACTAATTATTGAATGCTTAATATTACCTTTAAATTTATAACCATTATAAATCTATATATTAAATAATAAATAAACTGTTTGTTATCTTTTTTTTTAAAAGATTTTATTAACTTTATTATGTAAAATGCATTGTTATACATACAAAAAAAATAAATAAATTATAAAATAAATTAAAAATAAAAAAAATAATTTTTTTGCGGAAATGGATAGTGGAGAAGAAAAGGGAAATCTTATATATATATTTTTTTTCTCTAAATAAACCTAAGTATTTGTTTGGACGATATTTATTTTTCTTCTAAAAATTAGAGTGATATGGGTTCTGACACGAAGCACTTGAACATAAGGGTTCTTTAAAGCATGGCAAAACGTTCAAACTTTGGATCAAATGAGTTCACTATCAATATAGTTGCTGTGGCTTAATTGGAGCGTTTAAGATATCGAGCCTTTTCACGATGATTTAAACAAATTATATTGAAACATCAGGTGGTTCTTATGATCCACTTTGTACCACGGCTTATAATTATATTTATACGGATTGGCGACGATAGAAATATAATCATGGTGCCTATCCATAAATTTTTCACACCGATCCGATATTTTCCGGTATTACTAAAAAACCGATCTGATATTTATAATTGATTTTTTATTTACCTATCATTTTTATCAATCTCCTAAAATATATCGATATTTTTTATTTTTTAAAATTTACTAAACTAATTTCCACAAATGATTTTTTAAAATTCTCCTAAAGTATAAAATCTCATTTTAAATATTTGCATTGAATGTGGTGTTGTTTTAAACAGCTCCATTTAGCTTAAAACAGGAACGAAAATGAAAATTATAGCCAAAATATTATTACTTAAAGTCTTGAAATTTTGCCGATAGAAGACCAAACCTCTCTGCCATATATGGGCAAAATCGGTAGAGTAATATACTTTTGGCCAAAATATTGAGTTAACTGTTTTTTTAAAAATTGGCTAAATCGTTAGCAACACTAGTTAAATATGGCTCGTCGGTATTAGCGCCAATGTGTTATTTTTTCAGCTTTAAATTATTTTTATGAGCGCGTTTTTTAAAATTTAAAAATCCGATTTACCAGAAATACTCATCATGTTTGGAATACCTATCTTATGAATTATAGAAAATTTTGCTGTTAACCTTTGAGTCATTTATAAATTATATATAAAAAATCTATGGTAAATTCTAATAAAAATTTTATTAAGTTTCTAAAGTTCTTGGAAAAATTGTCTTAAATTTATAGGGTAGGTATTCCAAACATGATGGAATACATTGGTAAAATCAGATTTTTGATTTTAAAAAAAAAAAGGGCTCAAAAAATTATTTAATGAAAAAATAACACATTGCCGGAAAAAAAACACTGACGATGACAATATTAAAAGCCTTTTTTTTTGTTATATCTTTTGAAGGGTAAGCAGAAAAATTCCCTGGAAAAAAAAATCCCCAATAATAATTCTTAGAAAATAATTCTCCGGAATTGATTTTCTCAAAATTTTTAAATATATTATTTGAGAATTTTTATTCCATGAATATATTTATATGGAATTTTTTCTCCTATTTTATTCATTTTGTAATTTTTAAATATTTTAAAAAACGGGGATTTTTTTTCCGGGGAATTATTTTCCTAGATTCCTTTTTTAGAATTTTCCCAAAAATTTGTATTTTAAAAATCCATTTCAATTTCATTAGTATTTCAAGTAAAACGTTTTTACAGAAAATATATATTACCAAAAAAAATAAATAAATAAAATAATTAGGGGGCAACCAAACGCAATAAACCGGACGTCAAATCAGGCGATTTAATTTACGCGCGGGTAGCGGAGGCGCCTGGCTCTGGTATAGATCCCTTGCTTACTTGTCGACCACTTTTCGGTAAAATATTTATTGTATTATAATATAACCGAAGTCTAAACCTACCTTTATTGTTCTTAAATCTACTTAATCTCGTGTAACTTTTGGATCCAATTCTCTTTCCTAGTTGTTGGCACTTTGGCAAACATTTTATCCGCATCATCCGCTTTGTTGTATAAATCGGTGTGTCGCGATTTTTTTAAAAATAATAAAATTGAAACGTTTTTTTTTCTTCTTCAAATGCGAAATAAAACGTTAGGCCAATATGGACTGATAACATTTGAAACGAATTGTTCCCGCAAAATTAAAACTCTTTAATTTTGTAAGCGAATAGGATATTCATAGAAATAAATTGATTTTGAAACCAAAAAACCTTAATTATCTCGAAAATTCGGGTTAAGCAATATAGATATATATAAAAAAATAGAATGAAGATACTAATAATAACTATACCTCGATATCGATAAATTCTATCATACTCAATGACATATTAATAATACCTAAACTGACGATGCATTCATAATAATGCAATTGAAAGCGTCGTTGAATGCAAATCAGCTGGACCCGCCATTTCGGTAACTCATGTAGTTAATTATTCTTGTTAAACTATTAAATTGATAACTTGCTTCCTTTATGATCTCGATGACCAGGCAATTTTTTAATAAAGGTTGCATCAGACATAGGAACTAAATTGGTCTCTCGTTTAAAATTTTATAATAATTATATGGGTAATCAAAATGGCGTCCCCAGCTGTTATTGATGTACACTTTTAATGTGAATGCATCGTCAATCTAGGTATTATTATATATCATGATCATACTTAATTTTTCTTTTTTTTTAATAGCGCATATTATGTTGTTTTTTTTGGAAATCAACAATTAATAATGATAAGAAGCGTTTTGCCATTTTTTTTGTTCTCAATTTAACAATACTACATTGGCATTAAATTAATCACTACCGATAATTTTCTCATTCTTCATCTTTTTAATCAAACTATAAAACCTATTAATTATTAAAAATCTGATGTGATTTTAATTTAGTTTTTTTAGACATTCGCGACAATCTTTACAATCGAAAGTTTGCTTTCTTAGTTTTCCTTTATAATTGATTAATTTTTTTGGCATACCTTTCAAGTTGGAGACCCCCATTCTCCTGCTCTAGGTGTTCTGACTTCGGCTTGCCATCTCATGAGAAGTTCTAGCAATAAAAATAGTCTGACCGATGATGCCACCACCGAAGTCGCATTGAGCGATCTAAATAATGGCGGAGGAATTTCTTTGAGTCACGTGACCGGATTTTATTGGGACACTTCCATCGATCACGTGATCAAGTTGTTGACTACCGCATCGCGACACGATAAAAATTCCGCGACAGAAGAAGGTTGGTTTAATTAAAATAAATTTAAAAATTAAAGTGACTCCCCCATAGTTGCATGAACACTACTCATTAAGATACATTTTAAACTGTGAGGAGAACGTTACATTTAAAAATAGTGCGTTACTCGTTACTTTTTTTATATAAGCTCCATGATTAATCACACACCCTTACCATCATCACTTTCCAATAAAATATTATATTCAAAAAGTTTATTGTTTTTTTATAATTGTATAAAATACAAATAACATAATAGTGCGAGCAAATTGAGCGTTGCAAGCGCCAATAATGCCTTTCAAATGGCCTCGTGCAAATTGGTAAAATTACCGTTTGGCGTTAGCGACCATTTACGTTTTGTAATATTATATAAAAATGTAATATAAATAACTTACTTATTATCCTAAAAAAGGAATATTTAGAAATTAAAGAAATAAGAACGCAGACGATAATATAATTTTCAAAGACAAATCCTTTTTTTTAGAACTTATTTAAAATTATGAATCGACGAATATTTCTAAAAGGCAATCTCAATTTGAAACAAGGTATACGTTACGTTTTTTTAATTTAAAAATTACGTATGCGCACTATAATCAATATAAATAAAATATAATTATTATAATTTGTAAATATTAAGTCGAAATTAATTATTCTTGGTTACATTTTATTTTTATATTAACTTTTATACCAAATAAATATTTAAAAAAAATGAATTTATATGATCGACTTTAAAAAAAAGGGAACATTTCATACATAATTGCAATATAATATTTTATAATTAAATATATTGAAAATAACCAATGATGTGCATACAACGATATCAAGAATATTTGTACAGATGGGACCTGACTAGCTTGAAATCTATCTGATTTACGTAAAAATTTGACATCGTTTGTAGGCACCTCATATTATTTTTTTAGCATATTATTTATATATTAGAATAAAATATTTAATTTAATACGGTATAATTAAAAAATTCTTAAATTTACTTAAAATATTTATATAAAGAGATTTTATTATATACTTCTATCAGAAAATATTCAAATAAAGTAACCCATGACCGGAAAAAAAACCTACAAATTAAAAAAATCTAAATATTTAAGACATTGTAGCATACGGAGATGCAGGGATTCGTGGTGTTAGTCAATACTTTCAATTAGTGTTGTCAAACGGCTCGAAAATCTGCTAACTCAATACTTTACCCAAAAAAATATTACCCAAGCCTGAAGATTTTGCTCATAGAAGGAACAATGGTCCAGACATACATTGTCAAAATCTCAATTAGGCAATATTTTTCTGACAAAAATATTGAATTAGCCATTTTTAAAAATTGGCTTAAAACTAATCCTTTAACGACACTACTTTCAATTAAATCCAATTAATTGGTCAATAACAAAAAATGATAATTAACCTTCATAAATAAATATATATATTTTTTTAAGCGTACATAGAAAAAAAAAGAAAGATACTCTTAAATTTAATATACTTAAATTTCATAAATTAATTAAAAAATATAGAAAAGTGATAATATTTTTGAATTATCAATGTTTTTTTTAGTATGGATTTAAAGGAAAGTGCTATTTATGTCTTTCTGATAAAATATGTTTTTTTTTTAAATTTAATACTATATCATAAGTATATCATTACCAATAAATAATCTAATTGTGTAAATTTGTTAAAGTATTAATTTACGATTTAAACGATCTCAAGAAACATAACCGCGTTTGCAAAATTTGTAACTTACCAATTTTTTAAAAAACAATAACGAGTGACACTTTACTTTAGACTTACCCCGGCCTTCTTTTTATAGTAACGGTAATTATGGTTAAGGCTATAATTTATGGCTAAAAAATAGTGTAGATATATAATTTAACATTTTGTAGCGGTTTCTATAAACGAGTGAACTTACGTTAGTCATTGATTTAAATCAGAGACCTGCAGGCCCGGCCCTAAGCTCGGCCCGGGTCTAAATTTTTTTTTAAATATCTGGGACAGATCTGAAAAATCTTTTCAAAAAAATACCCGGGCCGAGCATTATATTTTAAAACCGAATGTATAAATCGCCATTATTAGCTATAAAAATTACAAATTAATATAATATATTTTAAAAAATCTGGGCTGGGCCTGAAAATGGTACCTCTGCAGGTCTGATTTAAATACTAATTCATGATTAAGGCTGCATTCAAAGTGGAGACGTCCGTTTCGTCAAAAGTCAATCTCATTAAAAATGATATATATGTTCATAAGTGCGTCCGTTCCGATACCTTCCGTCTTAAAAACGGATCAGGCAAATTTTGAAGTCAAAACATTTTGATTTTATCCGGCATATTTTAATGAGATTGACATTTGACGGAACGGATGTAAAAAAATGGATCCGTCTCCACTTTGAATGCAGCCTAACTTTTTTTCTTAAAAAAAAATATACGATAATATTATCTCTTAGATAATGTAGTCCCAAGACAAAAATCAACGGGTAATTTATTAAAAATGTTGGGCCAGAATGTGCCTTTCGAGATCGTTGTTGGTATGAATGGTAGAATTTGGATACGATCCAAGAATGTCGAACAAACCCTCAAAGTTTACAATGTCATGGAATCGCTCAAATATTTGAATCTGTCGAAATGCTTGGAGTTTTGGCAAAATATTTTAGGAGAACCGTGGACAGGTGTCGGTAAGAAAGGATCAAATAAAAATAGTTCTTCAAAGAAGAAGAAAAAGAAAGAGGGCTCTTTGGCTGCTACCGTTGGAATGGATAATCATATTGAAACTATAATGGATTGTTGACACATTTTTTTCCCCACGAATTGTTTATATAATAACATAAATAGAATGATTGTGTATATATATATATATAAAGATAAATTATGCAATAAAAAAAAAGAGAAAATTAAATCTTGATTTTTAAAAGGGGGTGGGGGGGGGGGGTGATTTTGGTTGGTATATATTATTAGAGGCTAGAGATGGTCCTCAGCAAGATCGCCCACGTTATCTGGGAGGGGAGGATTCCTGCTTGGATCAATGTTCGGTAATATACATTTTTTTCTTGCAATTTTTAATGTAATCACTAATTATTTGCTATCCATAAATAAATGTCACGGTTTCGAATTTGACTGGTACATGAATTTGTGTTAAAATTTAATTTTTTTTATAGAGTAAATTTATACATCATCGGGAATCTGGAATTATATTTTACCTTTGGGTTGGGTCGAATCGGGTCTGGTTAGAGTCCGTAAAATGATTTACTTCTTACAGTTCGGACGAAAAAAAAATTGATTTTCTTATCTCTTCCAGGTCTCTTAATTGAAAAGAAATTACATTAAATCTATTTATGTGTTCTTATTTTATTGAAATATGTGTCGCCATGGTGGCCTAGTGGGTTTATGATGTATGCTTGGAAGCAGAAGGTCCCAGGTTCAATTCTGGTAAGCAGGCGCGTACGCAGGAATTTGGTCTGGGGGGGGGATAATAAAATTTTTTAAGAAATATTATTGTTTTTTAAAAATATCAAGCATAAATTTATTAGGACTAATAACTATTCTTAACACACAATTTTAAATTAATGTAAATTATAAAAAAATTATATGTAAAGAATCACTTAAATTACCCAAAATAGAAATTTGAATTTTTTGAGCCTTTACACAAAAAGTTTCTTAGGAATAATTGTATTTTGTTTGTTATATATTTACTATGTAAAATCCAATCTTCGTTGGGATTGAGCTAATTTTTCAATTATCTCATCTTTGCTTGTCGTCAAATGCCTATGAATATTCAGAAGATCCAAACCTTTCAATATACTTTCAGTGTTGTACTTCTTGGTATGTTTTTCAAAGACCTGCAAGCCCAGCCCCTGGGCCGGACAGTATTTTTTTTTATTTTTTTAAAAAACACCCGGGCCGGGCCCGAATTTTTTTTAAAAAAACACCCAGGCCGGGCTGTATTTTTTAAAACAGCCTATATTTGATATCGTTTTTATTAGCTATAAAAATCAAAAATAAATATAATTTATTTTAAAAATTCCGGGCCGGGCCTGAAAATTTTTAAAAAAAAGCCAAGCCGGGCCTAAATATTTTTTTTAAAAAGCCAGACTGAAAAAAAACCCAGGCCGGGCCGTGCCCTGTAAATGGTACTTCTGCAGGTCTCTGTTATTCTTCTTAAAAAAGAGAATGTTCTCTATTAGTTTACTAATGGGAAGAGTTTATAAACCCTTTTAATACATTAGGAATTTAATTTAAAATGTGTTTGAAATAATGCAGAGCATCCATAGCATTTTTTGGGACTATATCAACCATAGTTAATCTTATAAACATAGTTATTCAGCTAGTAAGGCATCATAAGATACTTTAACATCTTCATAAAAAAATCTAACAAATATTTTTTTTTCTATCACCATCTGAAAAAGGTTGGGAAGGCTTTTGTGGAAGTAATATTTGCAGATGTAAGTGCTGCATGATGAATTAAAAATTCATTTATTTGGGTTATAAATGTATCTGTATCTAAGATATACTCTTCTACTGATCCTATATTAATGTTTTAACGATGAGCTTGCCTTGCTACAAGTCGAGGGAGACAAATATTAAACACTATAGCTCTGCTTTTGACTCAACAATATAATATAAAATATGAAATTCTTCATCAACATTAGTCCTAATTTCCTTGAGTTCTGATAAAATGCTCTCCGCTATTCTCATCTTCTTAATCAAGTCAATGTCATGTTTTTGAAAAGTAATACTTAAAATAGTTGTATAATTAAATAATACATAATAATGAGAAATAAAATTTGGAATAAGCATTGAATCCAATAATTTTCTTGCTTCTGAGGAAATATTTTATCTTCTTAATCAAGTCAATGTCATGTTTTTGAAAAGTAATACTTAAAATAGTTGTATAATTAAATAATACATTCTAATGAGAAATAAAATTTGGAATAAGCATTGAATCCAATAATTTTCTTGCTTCTGAGGAAATATTTTTTTCAGGCCATTGTGATATTTCAGTAATAGCAAATAATTGGCTCTTCTAACTCCTTAAAAGCTGTTACTGCTTGATGGTAGAGACTCTATCTCGTTGGACAAGGTTGAAATTTCTTTTTTCCTGTTTTACCAGAAGTTTCAGAAATAATTATTATTTGACTAGAAATTTGAAAATGCTAGATAAATATTACGCCACTAAAAATTTGAAAATAATAAGTAAATATTACGCCGGAAAACTTGAAATCGAAATTAATTGATAAAATAACTTATGAATGTGATAATAAATGTAATTAAATATATATTTAATATGAGATACGAATATATATTAACAAATATAAATAATATTTTTTAAAAATATATCCGCCATCTGCATTTTTTGGGTTTGGGGGGGGGGGGGGTTTGTCCCCCTGTCCCTTCCCGCTGCGTACGCCAACGCTGGTAAGGAACGCAAAAAGTTTCAGGTTTTTCTTTGATGACAGATGTGTAAGGACATTTGCTAGGATGAATTTCTGAGCTGCCACCCCGGTCACCGACAGGCTTGGACAGCCGGATGTTTGAATACTTGTCCAATAAACTAAAATAAGAATACTCTGGTGGGATATCAGTCGATAGAATACTCCGGTGGGATATTTGTAGATATTGATACTTCGGTGTGAGATCAAGATACAAAGGTCTTGATAGCGATACTCCAGTGGAAGATGCATGGAAAACTTCGGTGGGGGATATCAGCGATGAGATAGATAGCATGAATAATAAAGTGGAGAGAGAGAGCTTATTACCAGAAAAAGGTGAGCTTAAGAGAAAAAAAATTTATTGAAATTGTAATGCTGCTTTTTCACAACAAATATGATTCTCTTTTTTTTTCTTATAATATTGTGTTCGACCACTAGGCAGAATTTCGATGTTCGCTTAAAAAATATTTTGTAGCACTTTCGATGAACTAACATTAAGTTTTTCCGTCTTATAGTAATAATTGTAAATCGTACATGGTAGTATAAATATTATGCCTAAATTTAAAACGAATAAAGTCAACATATTTTTCATCGAATAATTTTATATTCATTATTTGATCAAATTATTCCTATACTATTATTTCACGATTTTCGGTTAAATATTGGTAATTAAAAATATTTGATTTGGAAATTATTTATAAATATTTAAAACTATGTATGAGAAGCCATTAATAATTCTATTTCCTATTTGAACTATTTGGGTGAGCATAATAAACTCTGCAGACACATAAATAATTTATTAAAAATTATTTCAGTAATGGCCCAGATTTATTTTGTTAATACGACAAATCTTGACATTTTCATATAGCAATGTTATATGCTTATAACTATAATAATTATATAGGGTCTTGTTGGTATTTTAAAGTATAATATATGACAAGAACATCATCATTTCCCCTGGAAAGGTAGTCAAGGTAATTTTAATTATTAACTTATATAATATTTATATAAACATGTTACATGCACATCTACCTGAAATTTATTACAATTAGTTAAGACACATTATGTGTAATAATTTTACAAATGTGTTCCCATAATTGGCAATGAATAATTTAGATGCTAAAATATACTTTTTTTAGAGGGCATAGGGGTACTATTGTATCACGATTTAGGTCGACTTTTAAAAATGCCCGTTTAAGATTTTAGCCAAAATAATATTATGCAATCCTAGAGATTTGCCAAATAGAGATCCAAGCCTTTTTCCCATCTATTAGCAAAATCAATACTACATAGGAAACACTTAACGATAATATCGCTTGTACTAGCAGTCTTCTCTATGTGAAATCCAAAATAATCTTTGAAGTTTGGCTTAGGCATTTTAACATCTAAATTAAAGTTGTTTTTTTTTATAATACTTTTAGAAAGGGATGGCACAATTTCTATTTTCTCATTTTGAATCATTTGAATATTATTCTCATTAAATGACGAGTCAGAATTTTTATTAAATTCTGAACATAGGCATAGTTAGGGAGAAACAAGGGTGAATCCCCCATCGAGAATTTGCCTGTTCTAATATTATTTTAAGTTAATAAATATTTCCTCTTATACACCACCTCCCCCCTCTCTCCCCAAAATATATTAAATGTATCGCAATAAACAAAAATTTAAACAAAAATTTGAAAAAAAATAAGTAAAAGTTAATATTTTTTTTAAATAACGACTTTATTTAAAATTAGAAAAAAGTGAAAAATTTTTTTTATGAAAATATAACCTAGCCAAATGCCTGCAAAGATGGATCTACCAATAAAATTTATGTGGCAAGCACTTACATAATAGTACTTTCCTCCTATCAAAATCTAGGCTACTCCTATGATGCTGTGTTTGTCTGAGTCATTTATCAATATTTAATATATAAAAAAGACCCGCATACAGAATTAGATATTTAATCAAAATTTTAAATTAATAAGTTTAATTTAAAATTAATTTATCATAGTATAACATATTAAAAATAAAATTAATTATCTGAATACATTTATAATTATATCAAATATTTTAACTCGTTACATTCAAAAATAGCCAGTTACAGTTATGTTTTTACAAAAATTAACTAGTTATCAGCAGTGTTTACATGACAAGATTTTTACTAGATGCAAACTCCCCTCAAAAATCTATCCCTACCCCCCCCCCTTCCATTAAATTTCTCCTGCGCTTCGATGTTTCCACATTCATATAATACACCTTTTAATTATAATGGTACTCCTTTTTAAAATGAATTAGCTTTACTACCAGCTAACATTATTAATATAAAAGTGTATTTTTTAAAACATTAATTCAATTAAAGGCTCCCTAATTTACAATGAATGCATTGATCATAGTATATTGTCTAGCATGAGTTTGCCGATAATGTCTTATTTAATTATAGGAGAAAGTTTTATTTGAAAAATAAGGTCTAG